CTTGCACATCAAGGACTTTGTGTGTACTTTTGGTGCCTGGTCAGCTCTGTTGGGTCACTTTTGGGGACTTGAGGAGCAGACTAACATAACAGAACATGCCAAGTTCTGTTTCCTGTGCATAGCAGTGGTTAAAGGAGTCTGGAAAATGGAGGGAGCTGTGCTGTGTGGAGATTGTTGACTGCACAGCCAGCATGTGTCTAATCAGAGTTAATAAATTTGACTCAATGCAGGTATTGCCAGAGCTGATATGACTCCTGGAGAGCCTCTCTGCACAGTTCTTCAGCTTCCAGGAGGTTTATTAGTCTGGGCTCCATGCTGTGCACATCCAGAGCTGCCTCTGATCCAGCACTGCAGCCAGTCTGTTCCTTCATCCAATGATTATGCATCATCCTGCCCAGTGCTCCAAATTCCCCGAATACTTTGCAGGTCTTATGAGCTGTAAAGCATCCAGTTTGGGATACACTGGAGGCTGAGCAGCTGCTTTCCCATCCAGCAGTCCCAGGTCACATAATGTGGAGCAGATCCTGGCTGGCTCTGCCCCAGGTTCCTCCCTGCCCTGGGTGCTGGATGGTGCTGTGTGAGCACACACACCCTGGCTCAGGGCTGCTGTGCCCCCAGCCTGAGGGAAGAGCCCAATTCCAAGGGTTTCTTTTTGTGCTGCATCCCAAGTGGCATTCCTAGTCCGAACAGTCCCAGGAATTTAGTTTGATAATTACATTTTTTTAAAAATTGTAGTCTACTGTTCAAATTCACAGAGCTGATGTGACATTGCTCCGTGATGTAGCCAGTTACAGCTGCAAAACTGGCTTGGATTTAAATTCATTTTCCAGGTATGACCTGATGTTGTTACTATTTTAAGTCAGTAATTTAAAATCAGGAATATCTGTATTTGTTAATAAAGCACAGTCCCAGGAATAACATCCACAGAATCATTTTATAAAATTCTGGCTCATTTTGTTTGTGAACTTTTTGCAGACTGTTTTTATTTCACTGTTCTATGGCTTCACCATTTCCAATATACTTGTTATAAAATCAAAAGTGTGAGGGTGTTCACAGGGGTCTTAGGATGAGGGAAGAGATGAGGATCTGACTCCATGTTTCAGAAGGCAGATTTATTATTTTATGATATATATTACATTAAAACTATACTAAAAGAATAGAAGAAAGGATTTCATCAGAAGGCTAGCTGAGAATAGAAAAAGGAAAGAATGATAACAAAGGTTTGTGTCTCAGAAAGTCTGAGCCAGCTGTGATTGGCCATTCATTAGAAACAACCACATGAGACCAATCACAGGTGCACCTGTTGCATTCCACAGCAGCAGATAATCATTGTTTACATTTTGTTCCTGAGGCCTCCCAGCTTCTCAGGAGGAAAAATCCTAAGGAAAGGATTTTTCATAAAATGTGTCTGTGACAAAAAAGTATTGCTGTAATTAAAACTGGAGAGCTGGCAGGATTTAGATTAATTCAGTAATGGGATGGGGACAGGTCTGGGCAAGCAGGGACGTTTCTGTTCCTCTCTTGGATCACTGGGTATGGAGAGGCTGCAGCCCCTCAGTGTGCCCGGGTGTGCTTGCGCCTCTCCTGGGCCACAGCTCCATCCCTGTGTGCCGTTCCCAAGGTTTGCTCCACCTTGCACTGGAATTTTCCTGCTCTGTCCTAGAACTGATACTGAGAAGTGAGGATAAATTCCAATTCTTGTCAAACGATGTGTTAGGAACTCTTCCACTGCATTTCATCCGTGTTTGGCACCTCTTTGTCAAACCAGAGGAAACACTGCTTACAAATGGCCATTCAGAACATTTGGTCTTTGCATTAAATTATCTTTAAACATGTCTCTGTCTCTTTCTTTGGAATTTAAAAACATCCTGTCTGGTACTTTGATACTTCTGTATTGAGGACTTTCTTAATGGCCTTTCTCCCAAGCCCAGGAAGAGAAATAAGAGGTGTAATTGGGATATTTTCCTAGGCTATTGGTGGCTTTCTGGCACATAATAAATAGGAGCATGTTAAATGTATCTACATCAAGTATGTCTAAGTTTCTATGAGGTGATCTAGTCTTATATTTCAGTAGGTATTGCAGTAGAAGTTATAATACAGTAGGTGATGTTCAACAGAAACAACTCCCTGTCCATTCCCACAGTTCCCCTGAGAATACAACTATGAATAAAATGACTTTTGGAGGAAGTTTAAACTTGAAATAAATCTTAGGAAGTGGTGGAAGGTCTGGAGAGTCCCATAGTTTGAAATAAGGCAATAGACAGTTGTCTTCAGGTGCTTGGTGCTACATTAATGTGCTTCATTATCAATTAGTAACATAACCTGGGATTAGAGAGCTGCAAATTCTGGTTTGTGGCAGAAATAAACTCACCTGGAGCTTCTGGAGGATGGAGTCTGTGCAGGAGCACTGACCAGCAGTGCTGTGAGAGTTTGGAAATCCAGTTTACATAAGTTAAAGGCCAAATTTCATTGAGTTCTTGACCTTGATAGACAAATTGTTTGCTTCCTGCTGCAGTGTAAAAAGCATTTCATTTAATGCAATATAATATTAAAAATATTAAGTACATTTAGACCCATACAAAATGTTTAGTGCTAGTGAAGGGCAGCTCACAGTGTGAGCTCTGCAGGGGTCCTTGTGTGGATGTTATTTCATATAATGTTTGAAACAAAATCAATATGGAAGTTGAGATATTAAAATTAAGAGAGTTAAAAAGGGCAGCTGAGAACTTGGTCCATTTGCTATCACAGTTAGGAGAGTGTTGGCCCATATAAATAATAGGAAATAATGTAAGATGTTCAATCTTCTGGATTAATTTGATAGTAAATGAAAGAAAAACCCTTGATGTTAGGCTTTTTTCCCTATCTGGGTTGTTTGTGTCACTGGAAGTTGTAAATGTTTCACTTCTCAGTGAAACATTTGCTAACCTGGAAATATAATTTCTTGTTACTACATATATTTTTGTGTCTGCTTGTTGGTGTGAAACCTCCTGCTCTAGATGTTTAATCTGATTTTGATTAACTTCTTTGGCTTAGAACAATAAACATAAGCTCAGCATTTGTGAAATCCTTGCAAGTAGAGAAAAGAATAACCTTAAAACATATTCCTGGGATGTTGCTTTGAGATGAGTCAGATGACTTTGGGTTGACAGTGCATAATTATGTGTACATTGTGAGGTCTGAAATGGTAATCAGACACAGGAATAAACATTTCACACCGTGTGTAAGAGATGCATTTCGCTGGCACCCTCACATTTTGCATGATAAATAAGTTAATTTTGTTCAGTGTTTCTCAAGGACTACTGGTGGCCTTGGTGAAGGAGGATGGATGAGGAGTGCTAAGCCCTGAATAAGTTTTTTTTTGTTATATTTCATCCTGTTATTCTAAAAGATAAACATGATTAACCAAGGCAATGACTCTGATGAGGGCTAAGTAGCACATTGCCATCAACCTTGAATTAAACAAGATTGTTTACTTAGGTATAAAATTGTGAAATGTCACGTGGGTGTAAGGGAAACCAGTTTCAAATCTTCCCATGTATTTCCTCAGATGCAAAACTAGCATCTCTCGTATTATTTAAGGGTTTATTTGCTGTTTTGTCCATTTATCTCAAAAATGTCATTGAGTATTTGGTAGAAGCTGCAGGAAGTAACTTCAGCAGATCCAAGTACTGGTTCTCATGTGGTGTGTGTAATGCACAGTGCTCAGGCTCTGTGAGCCTGCAGATGCAGCCTTTGATCTGTTCTAGGTGTCAGAAAGAGAAGTTGAAATTCCCCTCTCCTCCATCACCCCTTTGTCTCACAAGGCACGTTCATATGGTGGCCATGTGAAAACTCTGCCATATGAAACCCCACAATGTTAGTTTGATCTCAGGAAAGCCTTTCAATTCCAAAAATTCCTGAATTCTGATAGTGAGATTACTCAGCATGCAAGAGAAGTGGAAAGCAGATATGGGGTGCTAAGCAGCAGAGGGTTTATAAAAGTTCCAGGAGTCTTTGGAGATCAAAACTTCAGCAGAAATGGATCTGCTATCAAAGTTAATCTGGAAGGTGGATTGGGAACAAAGGGGGCATAAGGCTCATATATGAGTTTAGAGAACAACTCATCTGCTCCTTTATGCAGTGGAGATTGTTTGTAATTAGCTCAGGTGAACTCCTTATGCAAATAGCATTCATTAGGACTGTGAGAGCAGGTGAGTGTGTTCATTAAAAAAGAATGAAAAACAGGATTGTGTCTTGAAGCAGAAGTTCTTGCAGATTTTGCAGGACTGTCACACATTTTATGGAGAGGAGGCTCATGCTTTTTATAGTTACAGGGCTGGAATAGCTTGGAATGGTTGTTTGCTAAAAGCTGGCAAGTTGTCACCAGAGTAAAAACTTGTGTAGTGAGTGAGTAAAAGGGACTAATGTATAAACACTAATCTGTTCTCTAAAATGTTCCTGGAAGAATCTTCAGGATTAATATTCTATTTCAAATCACCATGTAGTCATCTGGTTACCCATATGTTCATATTTTCTACAACAGTGCTCAGGTTTTCCAAGTGAAGTTTCAAGAAAATTCTTTTAAAAAAGCAATTATGTATACTACAGAAATAATAGCTAATCTGGGAATAATCTTGGTTGGTCAAGTTACTGAATTTACTGTGCCTACATTTATTGAAGAAGAATGAAAATCCAGATTCCTGCCAGTAGCCTTTCCTGAAGCAGTGTATGATTCTCAGTAGGCATCCAGAGGAAAATTTAAAAGTTATGTTTTTTACTCATCCATATTAAAACTTTGTGGTGCCTGTCCTTGACTCCCCACCTCGTGCACGTGGGCAGGTGCTCTACAAGTGACACAGTTTGGCTCCTGTATGAATAAAATGCTCAAGGAATCCAATGGCAAATTCATAACATTAGGTTTAATGCAATGGGAGCTTCATGTATTTATGCATAATAGAATAAACTTCTTCAATTGGAAGATAATCTAATCTTTTTTTTTTATTCTGATTATAACTCTTTAGGCGTCTGAACAAGAATAAATTGCAAGTTCTTCCTGAGCTGCTTTTCCAGAACACACAGAAGTTAACTAGGCTGTAAGTATAACCTGATTTACTTTCCTGTGGTGTGTTTCTATTTTCTGTTCCTTATTGTGCAGATTCACATGTTTGTGTTTTGACTGCGGCGAGAGGTTTAATTTCTGTGATATTAAACTGCCACTTAGGAAGGGATTTTTAGGGGATGTGTTATGTTTGCTTGTGTGTAATTGCAATTTGGTAGAGCATAAATATCAGAGGGAAGAGAAACCACAGAATTTTTGTGTTCTTCATCCATTCACCAGGATGACGTCAAGGTGACTTATTTTGAATTCTCTCTATCAAGTTACAGAAACCATAGAAAGTGTCAGGTTCACATATCTGGTTCAGAATGCATGTCCACAAAGTGCATATACTTATTTTATTTTAAAAATAAGTGCTTATACTCATTTTAAAAAAATGGAGGTGGCTACAAATTCTTTCGTTTGGAAAATTATCTTTCCAAGTGAGTCAGGCTTTGCCAGATAGACCAGCAAAGTTATGGCTGATGCCTTGTCAGGCAGGAGGAGGAGAAATTACGGAGAAGCAAATAATTTTTTCTTTGAAATATAAAAACTGTGTTATAAAATGTTTTGATGGCACCAAAGTTCACTTCAATAGCAAGAGAAGGATATAATGAACTTGGCATTATTTGTTTTTGGTAGGAGGAGGGAGAGGGTGGTGTTAGAACAATAACTGGATGATTTTCAAAATAAATCTATTTTTTAAGTGTATAAAAATAAAATGGATGAGCAGGTGCCTGTGTAGTTCCTATCAAAAAAGGAGTAGTCAAAAACTGTTTGAAATAATTTTCTGGATCCTGCCAAAGTTAAACTCATGATCCACACTGGCTTTTTGAAATTTGGTAAAACTGATCTTTTAATGCTTGAGCTTGTTTATGGAAAATCAGATCCTAAGACTTGTGATTTGGTCAGTGAAATTGTGAAGTTATTACAGGGTGGCTGAAAAAATTGTCCGTTCATGTGGGGATTTTATAATTGTTTTATTGCATCTATGTGCAACCAAACCATTTAGACAGTAAATTTCTCTTCCCGTGGAAATACAAACCCCATGGTGATAATGCAGATTAATTTTGGAATCAGATGACTTTAAAGAAGTAGGTTCTTGGTTTGTGTTTATAAGAGGCAAGCTGAAAAGTGCTGTGCAACAAGTGATATTAACATTTTCGAGAAATTCTCTAATGAACTTCTGGTGTTGTCGAAACTTGCTCATGAAAAACTGTACAACTCACTGCCATTATTCTGCAGATATAAAAAATATATTAAAAAATATAAGCTATAGATGTGTTTTAGTCTTAAAATCTGCTTGGAAAAATCTTTGTTGGACTTGTTTTGCAAGCTTTGTCATGGCTTTTGAATTCACTAGGATATATCTGCTGAATGGATTTTCTTGAGCTGAACAATTTGGTTTCATTTCCTAATGTTCTTTGCATGGTTTTTACATTTTACATCTTGAAACTCTGCTTGAGTACAAAGTGTGAGCTGTGACATGGTTGCAGATACCATTATCTGGTCTCTGGAAGGTGCCAGTTGTATTTATTTGTTAGAAGAGTTGCTTGACGTGGGTTGGTTGTCTAAGGACAAGATGATGCTTTCCAGAGAAAAGCTTTCACAGAGTTTACCTGGATCTCTACAAATTCCAGTTTAACGTGTTGGAATTGCTCTGAGAGTGGTCTCGTTGTACCTGGATGTGAGGAGAGGAGCTCTCTGGTAATTTGTGGTTTCAGTGGAATGCTGTGTGTGTTGATAACTCGTGTGCATCTGTCCTTGCACAAAGAACTGAAGCCAGAGTAGCTGAGGCTGTTCAGTACCACAGTGTGTTTTTCAGTAGGTCATGTAATCATGATGCATTATAGCCCTTAACAGCAAGGGCAATAATTTTGCTTTTAGAATATAAAGATTGTAATAAAGTTCCATAGAATGGAGTGATTAATCTGAAAGCTGTGTTCTGTAATGCCTCCCAACGGGTGCTGTTGGAACATTTGTCTTTATTCACTGACATCCTTTCAGTCTTGCTTACTGTTGAGCACTGCATTAGATAGATCACTTTAACTCTGTTTGTCAGAAGAAACTCGCTTTTTCTTTTGAAGATACAAGTGTTATATAAATACAGTGTGTATTATAAGCAAATAAATCTTAGCTCAAGTGAACTGTTACAGTTCCAAGGGTAGTTTGGTTGCGTGTTTTTCCGTCATGGGAGAAGAATGAAAAATTTGCTTCCTACTAGAATTTATAAAAATACACCCACTCACATATATATGGTTGCTCTCTATTGTTTCATGTTGCTGTCTTGGTCCCACTGCTGGTAGATTCAGAGCTGTTTTTTCTCATTTCTGCTGTGCCTTGTGTGAATGCAGCAGTGCCCCTCTGCTCTCACTGCCTGAGTGCAGGGGCAGTGCTGCTGCATTCCTCCCTGCAGCTGCTCTCACCCGGCCTCTCCAGAAAAAAGCAGAGCTGAGAAAGTGATGAAAGGGCATAAAAGCAGTGAAACAAAAATCTATAGGACAGGCTGATGCAGGGGTGAGGTAGATTCTGTGGAATTTACGAGCAGTGAATTTAAATGAACATTAAAAAGTATAGATAAGGCTGGTCTTAATTTTCATTTTCCACGGTATAGTATAGTAGTTCTGCTGCCACATTTTCCAGCTCTTGACTCTGAGTTACTCAGACATTACTCTGTTATTTTCTTCTCAGTAATTATTATCCTCATAAAATAGGAAGTCCACAACTCAAGTATTTTAATTTTGTAAGCTTGCTACAGCTCAAACAATGCAAAATTTTCAAGTACTAAATATTTCAGTGCAGTATGTCCAGATGGTAAGATTTGGGTTCATTCATTGGATTGAAGAGCTCCTAGTCTTGTCCATGGAGGAAAGAGAGCTGAATTCTGTGATTCTGAAGCTGCCCTCTCCAGCAGGCATGCAGTGAGTGTAACAGCCCATGGCTTTGTTAATGAAGGTAGGAACTAGACTTTCCTAAGATAAAGCTAAATAGAATGATGACATTCTAAATTTAGTGAGAGTGTGAAAATGGAGCATATTTATTATCATGGCTAAAATTTGGTGGAGATGGAGTGATGGAGCTGCTTGAACATGCAGGAATTTTGTGTGCTGGGGGGTTTCAGGGAGGACCTGTTGATGTTTCAGGAGTAGTTAAAGGCTGAAAAAGCAGCTGAGGTCTTTTCTGTGTGTTCTGCCAGCCAGGCTGAAACCTGGGGCTTTACTGGAGGCACCAGCTTTGTTTCTGTTGGTTGGTATCAGCAGAGTCTCTTCAGCCCTGCTGGCAGTCAGAATGCAGGACCTGGTTTCATGTCAGTGATGTTCTTGAAAAGCTGCAGGACAAACCTGGGGGTTCTGCATGTGCACATGGCTTGGGACAGCAGTGCTGCTGTCCCCGATGTCCCCGTGTGTGTCACCAGGTCATGCTCAGTGCATTCCCACAGCAACCCCCTTTCTGATAACCACTGAAATGGAATTCAGAATATTTCCCAGATTATAACCTCAGCCCTCACTTCAACTCCAGGTACCTTTGGCTTTTTTCTCTGAGCCTCTCCTAAATTCTGAGCTTCAGGATATCCTTGAATCTTTTACAGGGCTGGTTGGGCTTCGTTGTCACATCTGGTTGGTATTACCAGCAGGAATATATATAGTGAAATAAACCTAAAATGGAATGTGAGGCGTCCCACAAAGTGAGTTTCTCATAAGGCTTTGAGCCTTTTCTTCTAGAAAGAGTGGCTTTGAGACTCATGGATTTTGTTTGCTTTGGTTTAGATAAGGGTTTTAAGTTTAAGTTGGATGGTGAGTGAGCCCTTGATTGGATTCTCTGGTGGAAATGTTTCTCATTGCTCTGTTGCCTTCATTGCCTAGGTTTTAAAGCTTCTCAACTGTTTTATCTGGGATAATTATCTAATAATTCAAAATGCAGGCACTTTTAATGAGAAAAATGAATCAAGGAAAAGACATTTTTAATGAATTGAGAAATAAAAGCATGGAAGATAATTTTAATAGTTTCAGATACTTACTAATATCTATCCATAAAGGAACAGGTATTTTTAATACAGGTGATGAAATGCACAGAAAAAGTATAATAAAATTAAACATGTAATTTAACAGCTATGAAACTAGGTTTTGATTCTAAGTCAATTATTTTCTTATATCCAAGACAACTTGTGAAATTTATCTGTAAAGGTTGTAAGCAAAGATTTGTGTCTGCTGGAATCCTGTTTCCTTTGTGTGCAAAGCTTGTGTGTAAAATGACTGTAGTGCATCTGCTTTTCACTAAAAACCAAGTATTCTAGGGGTCCATGAGATACTTATTTATCTTTGGAAACAAAAGGGGGGAACAAGCTCGTTTTCCCACAAACACCCTGTCATGTAAGAATATATTTGTTTCATTGTTGAAGCCTCTATACCTCAGGCTAGCTGCTAAGTAGTCATGGGAAAGCTCCTTTGTGTGTGTGAAAAAAACCTCTTAGAAGGGCTCTAAACTCAAGTCTTGCAGTGAGAATTATTGCCTCTTCCAAATTTATAGCCATGGACCATTTGTTGGGTCTATTTACTTTTAATGAACTGCCTTAGCTGTCTCTTGACTGGGCAAACCAGGCTCTGGAAACTTAGATACTGAAACCTGACACCAAAATATCAGGATAATGGAAGCATCCATTAGACTCTGAAATTAATTTACTTACTTTTTGAGTACTATCAGAACCTAGATTTTATTCCAAAAATGAGTGTTTTAGTTCGGAAGCAGAGCCCTGTGATCCTGAGCTGGGACATTTTGGGTCCATGGCTGAGTGTGCCCAATACCTTTGTGTTTAAATTTTCTAGTTGTGGTGTCCCAGTGTTTAATTATATTCATTTACAGTTATTTCTAAGTGTTTTATCATATTGTTTTATCATATTTCTAAATGTTTTTTCATATTGTTTTATCATATTGTCCCAATGTTTTATCATCTTCATTTACAGTTATTTCTAAAGTAGGCTTAAGTAGCATGGAAACATT